TTAAGAAAACGCCGCTATATACATACGCATTTTATGGCGTTTGTGTAAAAAACGCCACTAAAGGTCTTGTATATAGCGGTGTTTTACGATACAAATCCCGCAAAATGTATGGTATATAGCGGCGTTTGTGAGAAAAACACCGCTAATTATCAATACCTATTGCGGCATTTTGGGGAAAACGTCGCTAAACCTTAATACCTATTGCGGCGTTTATAAGACAAACGCCGCTAAATATCGATACCTATTGCGGCGTTTGTTGAACAAACGCAGTTAATATCGCTACCTATTGCGGCATTTTGTGTGACCAAACGCCGCGATTTTTAGCGGCGCTATTTTCAGCGACGTTTGTCATATCGCCGTAGGTATTTTTTACGGCACTTAAAAACGACGCTATAGGTCAAAAAATCACCGCAAAAAGCCAATTTTACTGTAATGATTCGTACTTTCGTCAAATGACTTTTACATGTCATTTCCGTATCATCATCTAAATTTTTTTAAAATTTCTTTCATAATTAGAATCTCCTAAGAAAGAACTTCAAACATTGAATACTTTTCGAAAAGTCGTGATTTTTTGCAATAACTTTTGACAGATTATATGTACTTTAACTAAATTTGTTGTCAACTATCTTCGCTTACCTGTTAACCTAGTTATTAGTACCAACTTATTATAAGTCTACGTTCGACACCAAAACTTAGAGTTATTGTAAAAGTTCTTGACCAAGAAAGAGAGAAAAATATATAGTCTCTTCTTCAACTTTTTTTTACCACTTTATGGTGATATAAAATCTTTACATCTTGATCATTCTTCAACCGATTGTGGTTTTTTGTCCAAACTAAAATGAGTGAATAATCTATAATAGAATGTAATCAATTTATTTTCATCAATAATAATACATTATTATTATTATTATTATTATTATTAAAGGAGTGTTTAAAAAGTCATAATCAAATTAAATTTGTGTGTAATTGAATGTAATTACATAGTTATAACATGTTTGGACAATCATCTTAATTTATATGTTTCGTTGAATTGGATGTATGTGAAGTTTCCCAATTATCCGCTTCAATTTTTAGGGAAGAGGTGGGAATGATGTAATTACGGACGTAATTATACTGTTCAATTTTGTATTGATGTTATTTTAAAATTTAAACATATATGATTATATATTTATAATTTTTTATAAAAACAACTAATTTTATTCGAAATATCTAAAATTACAATAAAATTTACATCACAATTGTAAAATAAACATGTAAAATAAACATATAATTAGGACAATTTACTATAATCATTGAAACAAAACTAATTTTATTCGAGTCACGTAAAAAGCTATCCATGAACGCAAATCGAAGATCCAAATCTAATATGAGATCGAAAGTAGGGAAGATCAACAATATATCAAATAAGTGACATCTTGATCAATCGTGACGATGTCAAATCAATCCCTATAAAAGATAAATGAAAAAACAGTCAACGACCGAGAAACATGCCAAAAGACAAAAAAAAAGTGTAATAAAGTCAGATGAAAAATGTCATACAGACAGACTTATTGAAAATAAAAATAAAATAAAGAAACATTATAAGAAAAAAAAACAACAAAAAATAATGACAATCGACAACCGACATTAAAACTTAACAATAAAGAAAAAATGATGAACAACATACCGATAACAAAAAATTAAATTTATCAATGAGAGAAAACTAAATTTTCCTTATACGTGTTAATAATTTTTAACAAATCAAATGTTACACAAAAAAGTTATAATGTGATAAAAAAATTTACAAATCAAACATATGTAAAAAAAATAAAATTCTTTACAATCACCCATAAATATAATAAATAAAATAATAATTATAATTACGTATAATTATTTTATGATCTTCAAATAAAAGATAAATATATTAAAATTCTACTGATATTATTTTATAATCGCTTTATATAATTAAAAAATATGTAATTTTAATTTAAAAAATAAATATTATTACATTGTTGCTACTATTGATTTTTATGGGTCAAAGTGTTGGGTTAAATTTAAGAGTTTGTTTGGTTCTAAAAATATTTTTTATATTTATTTTTTGTTTTTGTTTAAAACAAAGTTTTCATTTTCAGTTTTTTAAAAAATAAAAAATATGTTTAGTTAATATAAATAAAAACTTGAATTGGTATCAAATTTTTAAAAATAAAATAGTCAAAAATTAAACTATAATTATTAAAAAAATATTGCATTAATTTAACATGTAAGTTATGCATATATTCAACAATTTGTAGCTTTCCGGTTAACCACGCGGATTGGGATCTGATTTTTGAATCAGTGCTGTGGTGTTTGTGGCTTCGAAGGAACCAAATGATTTTCAGTCCTCACTCTATGGAAGTGGAGAGTGTTGTTCAGCGAAGTAAGAGGTTGGTGATTGAAGCTAATAAAGCTCGGCAACTCTTGCTAGCTCCTCGGATATCTCAAGTGGGGAGTAGACAGGAGGTTCGTTGGTGCTCTCCCCCAAGCGGTTGGGTTAAAGTGAACACGGATGGAGCGCACAGGTCGGATTCAGGATTGTCGGCTTGTGGCGGAGTAAATCGGGATAATAGAGGAAGCTGGCTGGGTGGCTTTTCGAAAACTGTCGGCATGTGCTCGGTTCTCGATGCGGAGCTATGGGGAATTATCGAAGGGCTTGGGAGATAGGCTGTCGGGGATATTCTTGAGATTGATAATTGGAAAATTTACTTGATTAAGAAGGGAAGTGAGTTGAATATGAATTCCCATTTGATGCCGCACCTTGTTGATTTATTGAGCAGAGATTGGAACCTGGAGATATTACATGTGTATCGCTAAGGAAATTTCGTAGCGAATGGCATAGCGAAATTAGCTTTTGGTGTACAAAATTCTGGCATCCCCCAGCGGAGGTTCATGGCACCTGTCAGATGAAGTACTTTTAAGTTCGCAAACCTAGCTTCAGATTAGTTTGGCTCTCTTGTACTAAAAAAAAAATTGATAAAAAATTTTCATAACACAATTTATTTTAGTTTACGATAAAAATATAATGTTATTGTATATTAGACATCAATTAAATTTAAAAAAATACACAAAAATATTATAATAAGCAAGAGCTCACAAAAAGTGATGTTAAAGTAATAATATGTTTAATTGTAATTGAGGCCTTCAAAATTTTAGGAAAAAAAATTAGTGTAACCCCTAAACATTTCTGTACTAAAAAATAATTACTCTTTGAAGGCCTCAATTAATGTGACAATGTATGATATTGTTGTGGTAGTACATGATCGACAATGACGTGATAAATGAATTTAATTGATTTTTTAATTAAGTTTGATTGTGCAATTGATTTTTTAAAAAAGTTTTAGGACTTATTTATTTTTAAAAAATAAAAAATATATTTATATTAAAAAATAAAACATAAACAATTATTAAGATATTTAATACATTAAATATAAAAATACTGCAAAACTAAATTATTAAAAAATTAAATTTAAGGACTATATTAAGGGTAAAAAAGTTTAAGGATCGTTTCCTTGTTGATACTCTTAAATGCACAACCTCAGGTGCCCTGCTACTTCATATTTGGGGACTCGTTATCCGATGTCAACAACAATAATAAACTGGTGACGACGGCCAAAGTCAATTATTCGCCTTACGTGATCGATTTTCCTCAAGGACCAACCGGAAGGTTTACTAATGGCCGAACCATACAGGATATCATTGGTTTGCATTTTTTTTCTATTTCCCTGTATACAGAAATATGTACCACTTTTTTTGTGGTAGCTATATCTTTGTATTGATATGGAAAATGACAGTTCAACTACTGGATTTCCAAGAATTTATTCCTCCTTTTGCCACTTCAAGAGGCCAAGAGATTCTCAAGGGCGTGAATTATGCATCTGGATCTGCTGGAATTCTCAATGAATCTGGACAAGTGGAAATAATTATATACTGATTATATGAGCAGCATTTACACATAATCTTTGAAAATGGAAGTGTTTTTCGAATTGCAGGGTGATCAAATAAGCGTGAACAATCAGTTAAGCAACCATCAAATCATATTCTCAACAATGGCAGACATGTTGGGGGAATGTTTAGCTTCAAAGCTTCTAAGAAAATGCATATATGAGGTTCAAATCGGAATCAATGACTACATTAACAACTATTTCATGCCACAATACTACAACACCAGTCGCATCTTCACCCCACATCAATATGTTGCATTTCTTATTCAACAATATTCACGCCAAATAAAGGTCTTAAAACATAATGTGCTTAGATTGTTATAGTCAAACTTGTTGTTTCATGCGTTTTTTTTTTTTTTTTTTTTTTGGTTCCTATCACCAGATTCTGTACAATAATGGGGCAAGGATGCTTGCGCTATTCGGAATCGGTTCCATAGGGTGTACTCCTAGTGCAATGGCTTTGTATGGAAGAAATGGCTGTCTGTGACGAAAAAGTAAACAATGCTGCTCATCTCTTCAATGGGAGGCTTCTATCACTTGTTAATGAACTGAATAGCAACTTAACCGACACTAAATTTATATATTTGAACCCTTCCGGAACAAGCTTTGCGAACTCCTAGGTGATATCAGAAAAAGAGAACAGATTCATTCATTTCTCTGTTTCCAGGTTTTACAATGGCAAATACTAGCTGCTGCGAAATAGGGAGTGATGGAAGCCTTTGCGTTCCTGGTTCAGAGCCATGTGAGGACCGAAGTCCGTATGTGTTTAGCGATGCAGTCCACCCTTCGGAAGCATGGAATGAGGTCACTACAACTCAGGCTTACGGTACCAAATCAAGTGCCCAAGCTCATCCCTTAAATATTAAGACTATGGCTCAACTGCTGAGGAACAACCACGATACCGATGGTGACATTTGGGAATGGCAAGAAACTCTGGTGTCACTATAATCTTTTGGTTTGAATCATTGTAATATACTTGGTCCCTCGCTTTAAAAATAAAGCCAAGGGTATATGCAAGAAAACCGGCACACGTATTTAACTTTGAATCCAAGAAAACCAGAAATAGTAAATGCAAAACATATATCTCGGTCCACTACATCAAAGTTCAGGAAACAAAACTCAAAACCATGTCTATAACAATGGAGGATGGTGTGAGTTCCAACCAAAAGGGCTTTTAAAGAGTTTCTAGCGGTGATAGGATTGCCTATGTTTTACTCATCGTCTTCCTCATCACCATCTCCACCAGCAGCCTTCTTCGCAGCAGCTCTTTGGTTCTTTCTCTTCACTCTTCCGGGACGGCCACCTCCAAACGGACTTGTGAGAGAGAAATCAATATGTTTTTGTGAGTCAACCCTCACCATGAAGGATGGGATGTTCACAACTTGCCTCCCAACCCTATCAAGTGCATAGAAAACATCAGCATATACCATCCAGTGAGCTTCAGCCAAAAATAAAATCAAACTTGAGACAAGCTTCAATCTCAAATTTCAAGTCAACTCGCACTTCTTAAAGAAAACTCATACAATCTGAAAAACTAGGAATTGTAAATACAAAACTGTTCAACAAGAAATTGTAAATAGGAATTGCAAAAGAAGGCAATAAATTGCAATAACTTGCAAATCAGAAGCCACGTTAGCGTATCAGAAATCAGATAGAAAATTTTCCTGAAAACCGGCTGCATCAAACATACTAATTCTTCATGAGTAGACTGTTTACCAAGTTTATGTCATGAAAACATACAGCTTCTCGAAAGCATGGCAGCTTTTGAGACATTGAAGAAAACTCATGTGATCTGAAAAACTAAAAGACACCCTTTGAAACTATCAGTTATCACTTCTGAGCACATTACAAAAGACAGCAGACACAGAAATAAACACAAAGGAATTAAACAAAATTAATACAAATGTGGACTACCAACTTTGACATTTAAATGTATTTAAAAGCATTTGCAACATTTTCACTTGAGCAGCATGATATGAAAACATACTCTGTATAATGAGAGGAAAACACTACCTGATATGCCTTTGTCTGATCAACACACGAGCATGGTGAATCGACTTGGCCATACCAGACTTGAACACAAGTGTTTGCAAGCGACGCTCAAGGAAGTTCTCAACGGTCAAAGCCAAGACATAATCGAGCTTGTTCTGGCTCTCATCCAAAAGCCCATACCTGTTCATCCTACGAAGTAGTGCTTCACCTTCAAAAATACGACGAGGGTTCTTCTCATCAAGGGTGAGAAGGTCCCTAGCAGCATTACGGATACGGCTCAAAGCATATTGAACCCTCCACAACTCCCTCTTACATCGAAGCCCATACTCTCCTACAAGCCTCAACTCAGCATCCAATCGTTCCTTCTCATAAGGACGCCGTGGCTTCTTAAAGGTCTTCCCATCTACAATCACACATTAAGTGAATAATATAAAACAAAAATATCTATTTGCAAGTATTTTCACTATTAGGATCCAAGATTATCATAAAACTAATCAACCAATAATACCCTGTTGTTTCCAAGATTCAAACCCAAGACCTAGAAGTTGAATCTTTATTTGCAAAAATGTGTTCGATATAACAAATCGGCATTTAACATACAGATCAAAAAGTCAAAAAAATATTAAATCTACAGCAAAAGCCCGAGCTTTTAAATTATTTCTAACGTTCGAACCTACACTAAACTAAATAAACCCAGTTCAAATATTAACCGAAATACGAGTAAAAGGGATCACAAAAGCTAAATACAGAAAGCCACTTATAAGGACTAAAAAATAAGTAAATTGGAAGGACAAAAGCTTTAATCCAACAATACCAACTAAGTTGAAACAATAGATCATGCTTAAAAAAGCAAGGAAAAGGGGCAAGGGAATTAACTTACAGTTGCGGTAAAAACTGACGTGAACCATGGTTGCGCCGGCTCCTCGTCAAAGACAACTGGAAGAAAAGGGAGAAACCAAGGTAAGGAAGAGAAAGGAGGCAAAGCGAGATCATTATAAATTAGGGATACCCTAAATCCTAATTTTGGGTATTTTAGGGATTCTAATGGGCTGCTCAATTTGTAAAAAGGTGGGCCTTTTGCTCCTCTAATTTTGGGCATTATCAAATTTCATCTTTTATTATCAACTGTTTAGAATAAGTAAAATACAGACTTAATTATATGTTTGGCCCTTGAGCTTTTACTCTCTTACTATAGTAGTTCTCGAATTTATTTTATCCAGTATTATTTCTGAACTTGCATTTCATTTCATCAAATATATTAACCTTTCTATAACATGGTTAAGTGGGTGATGACACGGCACTCTAAAATTTTACCATGATATCACTCAATCTTAGTTATTTGAATTGAACTTTAATAATAATAAAAAAATCTTAGTTATTAATTCAAACTCGAGCTATCAAACAGATCAAGTTTATGTATTTTAATATCAGATTTTAAGTATCTTTAAGTAGTAATATTTTTATTTTATTTTCGAATAGCATAAATACTTTCAATTTGAATGTGAGTTTAAGAACAAATAATTGATGAGAATGAGAATCAAATAATTGATCTTCATGTTAGAGATGAGACCCTCTCCCTGATCATCAAATCTAATCACAAGAGAATTCTTGTTATACGAGGGCATAGGCTAAGGAATTATCAAAAACGATCGTCAAATTAAAATCTTTTTTCCCTAAAATTAAATCAAATCATAAAAATGGTATACCAAAAGTAATGATATTCAAAAAAGCGATAAAAACGTTTATACAAAATCGGAGTTATATGACACTTTGATATAAAATCAAACAAATCAAAATATCAATAAAGTTATGTAAAAGGGTACTGGAAACTCCTGTATTTTTTTAAAAAAATTAATGTGGCCCTTGAATTTTTGTATCACTTAATGTGACCCTTTAACTTAGAAAAATAATCTAATGTGACCCTTTGACCAACGGTTTCTATCGTTGGTTCTTACAATACGGACGTGGCACTTCACAGTGTTGATATGGTGGCCCACGATAGTTGGTGGCGTGGCTAATGACATAATAGATGGACTAAATTGATTTTTTTTAAATTCGATGACCAAATTAATTTTTTAATAGTTTAGGGGGTTATTTGATTTTCTTTTAAAAAATAGAAATATTTTAAATTTAAAATATCAAAATATTAAAAAAAATAAATATAAAAATAAAAACAAATTATTAAAAGATTAAATATATATTATTATTTTCTTGCATCTAATTATTTTATATATTTACATCTAATTATTTTAAACTCCAAATATTTTTTAATTCTATTTCACTAAATTTTTCTAAAATGAACTAAATAAATATTATAAATTACTAAAATTAAAATTAATAAATTATGAAATTAAAATTTATTCATAAATTATTATGAAACTATAGATTAAAAGATAAAAAAATATTTTTTGAGTAAAAACGATAAAAATAATTATCTGATTAAGAGGAGAATTTTTAGTAAACATAACATGACATAGGGAAGTAAATTTTACCTAAATTTGATCTAAAAACTAATAGGAATATCGACCTATCTCGTCAGTTTTTGTTATATACTATTGAACCATATTTTATAATATTTTGATATAACAAAGTAAGACAAAATGTTTTTGGAGTTGATTGAATTTGTTCAAAGTTTTCAAAAGTTTTCAAAAATAATTTAAAGTCCATTAAACTAGAATTTGAACACTAAATTGTTTTTATGGGTACGTAGTACCGATACTGTTCTTACAGTATCAATACTGCATGAACAATACCGATATTGTTCACGTGGTACCGATACCAAAGGTAAGAGAAGTATCGATACTCTCTAGGTAGTATCAATACTACCTGTTGTTTTCCAAATTGCTCAAATTCCATAATGCAAAATAGATTTCGATACTCAAAGGGGGTGTCGATACAACTTTACACAGTGGTATCAATATCATGACGCATAGTATTGATATTGGTCAAGTCCACCGGTCTTTAATGGCTAGTTTATTTAAATATTACAAAGATAGTATCGATATTCATTAAAGGAGTACCGATACTCCCTATCCTGGGCAATTTTATTTGTAGAAAATTAATCTTCAACGGTTAGAAAAAGTCACAAACTAATTCCAACTTATAAAAACAAGTTGAGGACACTTGAAGAAGGTTGGAACACCTATCCAAGCAATAGAGATAGGAGAAAAACTTTTTCACTCTTTAATTTTTTTCATTTTTTCTTATACACAAGTGTGCTTGAGCTTATTGCAAATCTTTTTTGTGATCTTAATTCTTGGAAGCACCTACCTTTGAGAGGTTTTCTTGTTTACTTCTTTTAACCTTTGTAAAGGGGATTGGTTCTAGTTTAGCCTTTGAAAAGCTAGGGAGTTGTAAATGTTATCTATTTATCTTGGAAAAAGAAAGAATAAATTAGTGAATTTGTTAGAAAATCCTAAGTGAGGAGCTTAGGTAGTGAATGTAGACTTGGTTGAGAAGTCAAACCACTATAAATCCTTTTGCAATTTTTTCTCTTTTTACTCCTTACTCTCAAAACTCAAAAAGTCAATTCACCCCTTCTTGGCAAATTATTCAGTTGATCAAATTGAGCTTCATCGGAATCCCAACAATTGGTATTAGAAATTAATGAAGCTATTCATCCAACCCAATGATCTTGATGCATTGGAAATGATTGAGATCGGTTACTCTTTTCCAAAGAAGATGAAGAAGTGGAGTGCCCAATAACGGAAGAAAGCTCAACAAAATGCTTAGGTCATGCACATGTTGTTTTGTGCATTTGGTCCCGATGTCTATGAAGGAGTTTCTTCTTGTTCAAATGCCAATGAGCTTTGGAATAAGCTCAAAGAGATCCATGGAAACAAGAAAAAAGAACCAACAAAGGTGGTGTGCTTAAGGCTCTTGAAGAGCTCGAGGTATCATTTAACTCTAGTGAATCTAATTCATATTCTTTTAATGAGTTACAATATACATACGAAGAATTATTTTTGGAGTTTGAGTCCATGAACTCCAAATATAAGAAAATGATTTCAAAATTTAAAGTTGGAAACAATTTGCTTTTGAAAGCAAAAATGAATTTTGAAAATCAAAATGAAATTTCGAAAAAGGATTTAGAGTTTTCAAAAGTAAAATTGAAAATTTGAAAGATAATGCTTTGATTTAAAATTTAAGTTTGGATGCTTAACAAAATAAAATGAAATCATTTTAAATAATTCATCTAATTTCATAATGACAAAATGCTCACATTGGCATTATTATTGTCATGAGGAACATACTTGTCCTTTAAAGAAAGGAAAACGTTTTAAAATTAAACAAATATGGATTCCTAAGGGAACAAGAGGCAATAAAACTAACGTCCAAGGATCCAAAGCAATTTGGATACCAAAATCCAATTAAATGTCTTTTGTAGGTGTATGGAGCAATGGTGATGAGAGTGAAGATATTCAAATGCTCTAGCCATACTTGATATGGAATGGGTAACCTCTAAGCTTATTTTAATTATCTTGCATAATTGGTTGCTCATTTAGTTTAAGCATGCATGAGTTTTGATTTTAAATAATTTTATGTTTTCTATCTCATGTATGTTAAAAAGTGTTGTGATGAACATTTTCTAAAGTTTTAATGATTTTTCATAAATGTTTGTTCATCATAATGAATTTTGGTCAAAATTGGTTTTAATACTTTGTTTTTACAAATTTTAATTTTTAACTTTAATTTAAATGTTTATGCATGTGATTTATTGCAAATACATAACATTTCTGGATAAATTTATGCACATGCACTTAAATACAACAATTGGTATTGCATAAAGTGTATTAGACTTGGGTATATTGAATTTCATGTGCTACTAACATGTTTGTTCATCTTTGTTGAAATTCAATGTCTTTTAAGTGTCAAACTTTTAAAGTTAAATTCTTTTTGGAATGCTTTTATTGAGGGGGAGCTCTGAGTTTTCAAAATATTTTATGCTAAAATTTACCAATTACTCTTCATTGTTATTTTTGAACTTTAAAGTTGAATTATTTTTTATATAACAAAAAGGGGGAGAAATATAGGTTTGAAAAATTCAATTTCAAGAATGAAAAAGGGGAAGCTTTAATATTTTCCAAATAGTTCTCTTTTTCATGAAATATTTTATTAAGGGGAGTTTTGTCAAAGCAATTTTTCAAATGTTTTGTTATATTAAAAAGGGGGAGATTGTTGAACCATGTTTTATAATGTTTTGATATAACAAAATAAGGAAAAATGTTTTTGGACTTGATTGAAATTGTTCAAAGGTTTTTAAAAGTTTTCAAAAATAATTCAAAGTCCATTAAACTGGAATTTGAGCACTAAACTATTTTTCTGGGTACGTAGTACCGATACTGTTCTTACAATATCAATACTGCATGAACAGTACCGATACTGTTCATGTGGTACCGATACCAACGGTAAGAGAAGTATCGATACTCTCTAGGTAGTATCGATACTACCAGTTGTTTTCCAAATTGCTCAAATTCCAGAATGCAAAATAGGTACCAATACTCAAAAGGGGCACCGCTACTACTTTACACAGTGATATCGATACCATGAAGCATAGTATCAATATTGGTCAAGCCCAACGGTATTTAACGGCTAGTTTATTTAAATATTACAAAGGTAGTATGATACTCATTAAAGGAATGTTGATTCTCCCTGTCATGGGTAGTTTTATTTTGCAGAAAATTAATCCACAACAGCTAGAAACGGTCACAAACTCATTCCAACATATAAAAATAAGTTGACGACACTTGAAGAAGGTTGAACACCTATCCAAGCAATAGAGATCAAGAGAAAAACTTTTTCACTCTTTATTTTTCCTTTTCTCTTGTACATAAGTGTGTTTGAGCTTATTGCAAATATTTTAATTGTTTTTATTGTGAGCTTAATTCTTGTAAACACCCTACCTTTGAGAGGTTTTCTTGTTTACTTCTTTTCTTTTAACATTTGTAAAGAGGATTGGTTCTACTTAGCCTTTGAAAAGCTAGAGAATTGTAAAGGTTATCACTTTATCCTGGAAAAA